GACGTATCCGCCCATCCCGACCTTTCCCCGACCCTATCCCATCCGCCCATCCCAACCTTTCCCCGACCCCATGCCTCCCGCCCGCCCTGCTCAACCCTCCTGACCCTATCCCAACCGCCCATCCCGATTTTTCCCCGACACTCCCACCCGACCCTCCCGACCTGCCCCCCGACCCTCCATCCCGACCCTACCGCCCAACCCTCCTATGCGATCCTCCATCCCGACCCCTCTCCCAGGAGGAAGAAGAAGCAGAAGCAGAAGAAAAAGAAGAAGAAGAAGAAGAAGAAGAAGAAGAAGAAGAAGAAGAAGAAGAAGAAGAGGGGAGGAAGACGAAGATGAAAAGTGTAGAGATGGAAGAAGAAGAGGAAGAAGACGAAGGGAGGAGGAGGAAGAAGAAGACGAGGGGAGGACGAGGAGGAAGAAGAAGAAGAGAGGTCGAAGAAGAATCAGAAGAGCGGAGGAAGAAGAAGAATAAGAGTATAGAGATGGAAGAAGACGAGGAAGAAGAAGAAGGTGGAGGAAGAAGAAGAAGAAGAGGGGAGCATGAGGAAGAAGAAGAAGAAGAGGGGAGCATGAGGAAGAAGAAGAAGAAAAAGAAAAGAAAAAGACGAAAAAGGGAGGAGGAGAAGAAGAAGAAGAGGGACGGAAGACGAAGAGGGGAGGAAGAAGTAGAGGGGAGGAAGAAGTAGAGGGGAGGAAGAAGTGGAGGGGAGGAAGAACTAGAGGGGAGGAAGAAGAAGCGGGGAAGAACAATGACGACGACGAGGAGTGTGAAGAAAAGAAGAACGAGAAGGAGGGGGAGGAAACGAGGGAGGGGGGTGGGGGTACCAAGTTACTACCAACCTCGGCGATGGCTGTTTGCGGCGATGAAGATGACGACTGCAGATGGCGACGATGGCGACGATGGCGACGACGACCTCCAGCGGGCAATGGCGAAGACGACGCGGGCGAGGTCGAGAAGCTCCAGCGGGCGTGCGCAGCAACTCCAGCGGGCGGACGAACGGGCGGGAGTTCGATTTCGAATTCAAACTCCCCGCTTCCTGAGGGGGCCTCGCGCGCCTCTGTCTCAGCCGCTGATCCGCAAGTTGGACGACCGAGATCGTGCATTTTTCAAAAAACAAAGTGAGGGTCTGTGGGCCCTCCTTTTTTTGGGGGGGGCCAGGGAGGTCCTATAAGGGCGGGGGAACACACCCAGGCCAACAAAACTCCGAACCCCCCCGTCCCCTATTTTGTGCGAGGGAGGCCCGGTACCAGCCCGGCCAACCTGCCCGGCCGGGTGTCCCGGGCGGGTGCCGTGCGAGCCGAGGCGAGCCGTGCCGCACGGCTGGTAGCCCAGCTATGAATACCTTTCCATGATGCATGTTTCGTGCAAACTAGCTTAGTCTGCACTCATAGCATCTATTCCTCCACATTTCTTCTGTATGTATGTATGTTTGTCCATCCTCCGAGAAAATGCACCTCTGGGCAATCTGTTTAAACGACCGCATGTAAATGGTGTTGGTCATGCTTCTTCTGATGGTTCCCACGTACGGGTTGGTTGGCTTGATAAGTCCTGTGCTCGCCTGATAAGGATTAAGGGGGTGTGCCGATAAACTATTTCGGAGCTTGATTGCAATACGGTTTTTGTATCTTGCTTCGACATGCTATTCATGGAGTACTCTAACACACACGCACGCACGCACGCACGCACGCACGCACGCACACACACACACACACACACACACACACACACACACACACACACACACACACACACACAGGGGGTCATTTTTTTGTGCGGCAGCACCACAAAAACCACGTGCTTCAAATCCGAATTCTTGGCGCGAGGGCATGATGGAAAGACGTATGTCGCTCAATGACATGAGGGCATATCGCGCAGAGACTGGTGAAATGAGACTGGCTGTCCAGTAAGGGCACAGTGGAAAGTTGCAGCCCTTGCTGACAGGGGCATGCAGGAAAGTTCAGAGTCTCCAGGGGCACGACAGGGTAAGTGGGCCGTCGGAGGGGCACGGGGGGCGTGATGCAAAATAATGGAAATTACAGGGGCACCAGACAAATATTCCCAAAACGAAAAGAACAACATGAAAGAGATAAAATACCCTCAATAATTCCTCAGCAATAATATCCCCAATTTATTTCATAGTCATACCCAAACTTCTTGGACCGATCTGTGGATATAGTTGCAGTCCCAACGATCCACCATAAGTGGGCGTAATCGTCGTCCGGTACATCCACCAAAGTCCCAGTGTGAGGGTACCCTAAGTGGACTAGTGAAATATACCCTTCTTTACAGATTTATTGGCTTAGCTACTTGCTCAAGTTGCACTGGATAGGTTCTGGGTTCGAGTCCCGCCGATGTCACTCTGTGGTCAGAACGATCGTGGTCCAGTCCCTAGTAGGGCGATGCGCAGCCCTGTAACCGTTAGAGAAACGATGGCCCGAAGAAGGGAATGCTGGCCAGCAGGCATCATATCCACTCAGGTTGCTTCACTACGGTCTTCACCTGAATAGGATGCCTGGTCGTTGTCGCTGCATCTGTAGTCAAAGTTGCTGTAAACACAGCTATAATGACTGGGTGTCCTATTCGGGTGAAGACGGTAGCCAGTAAAAGACGGGCCATACATAAGAATGAATTCAGTTGGCTGAACTCTAACGAGAACCAGTCTTATCTGGCAACCAAGGCTCTATTCTTTTCAGTCAATCACGAGTCCTAATCGGGGTTGAGACCCTGGAGCTATTAAGGAATCATACCCCTGAAATAATAACCTTCAACCACCTGTACCTTTCCTTTTTGTCTTTTTACACCTGCTAGAAAGCGGGTCCAGCGTCCCCTGGATACAATGTTCACATGAAGATAAGGACCCAAATGTGCTGGGAACTGCCCATATATCGGCCGCGGCTGGAAAAAAA